CGGGGGGTGTTCGAAATTCTCAGCTTCTGCACCACTTCAAAGTTTTCAAAATCGTCAATGTCTATTTGCATTGGGATATAAGGGCGACATTTAAAATATTCAACATTTTCAACGCTTCAAAAATTTCAGAATGTTCAACATTATCCAACGGGGGGGAGCAAAATCTTTCCCATTTCAGAATTACTTTTGGTGAGGATTCAGCAAGTCGTTGACCGCTTGTGAGGCCAGCCAGAGGCTGGGCTTACTTTCCATAAAGTAAAATGTGTGCCCAACCAGGGGGACATTCTGGCTGGACGCAGTGAGCGGCCACACTGCTGCTCTGGGCACTGGGGTGCTGCCCACGCGGGGCGCTGTGTGGTGAGTGGGGCGCTGCGGTGGCAGCGGGTGCACGGCCGCCACAGCTGGGCTGCTTGTGCGGAAGCTGGTGTGGGCGATGGTGATCTTCGAGACGAGGAGCACGTTATGGGGGAGAGAGGGGTAAGGGGAGAGGAGAAGAGACACGGTCCTGATGTATGCTGGTATTCTGCATTGTTGACATTCTCACGTACATTGGTTTTCTGCTTGAAGTGACTCCAGTTGAATATACATAGTGTAGGCTAGTTTAGCTGACGAGTAGGATAGGCTGGGTGCTGAGCGCCAAACACTGATATTGGATACTTTGTTGGTGTGGCGAGAGAGTGTCGACATTGACATTTGAGTTCATTGCATTGCCCTTATCTCGTCGTCAACGTGATATTGCAATTTGGGTTTCTGTCTATCGCTCTCTCTCAGTTTCCTTGCAGAAGAAATTATCCACAATAAAAAAGAACAATGATAGAACTCTGACAACAAAGGCAGTCGCCAATAAGGGTTTCCGGCCTTTTCTTTTCTTAGAATGGAAGAACCCTTATTGTCATCAGGGTGCAGTGCCCAAGGCAAATACATCGTCTGGAGGAAAACGAGGGACCGACAGGTAGTCCTGCTCTCACACGACCACAGAGCCCCATTGCTGTTAACCAAAGCATACTCCCTACTTGATTCCGGCCTCTAGATCACGTGGACAGTTCTATTCCTAAATCAACGATAACATTTCAATTAACGGTCCGCCACCAGCGGTCAACAGCAGGAGGATGCAGAATACGTCTACGAAGCACTGAAAAAACGAAGGTTCCACCAGCGGACCGCTAAACTCCATGGTTCAGATTTTGTCTTAAACCACCAGTGCTTGGCCCATACATCGCCCACGGGCCCCTCGTCGTGACTCTTAGAGGCCGGAATGCGACAAAGGCCATTGGGCCTGAATATTCAAGTGAGGCCTGTTTTTGACATTTTCGATATGTGGGGACTCAGACAGTTGCAGCAGGCCAGTTGATTACAGAGCAACGTGAGCCTCCAGGCTCTTTCCAGAAGCAACGGCTGGGCTGGACAGTTGAACCCAAGGCTCAGGTGGTTGCGCCCTGGGCACACGCTGCATGAGGCTGACACATCACGGACTGGCCACAGCCCAATGAGAAATCAGCACAGTCGTCACACATGTGCCACGAGCCAATGAGAATGCTGCGAGCACTTGGAGGCTGGGTGGCTGCCTGGACATGCCTAACTGCACGAGGCCCAGGCCAGTATCCGAAACTGGACCTTGGCACAGACACTTGGGGCCAGAGTCAAGCTACTGGCGCACCAACACGCCTGGCCTGGTCAGCCAGCAGTGGGCACACGTTCCATAAAGGAAAGTGTGTGCCCCAAGGGGGGGGATTCTGGCCTGAGCAGGCATTGCGGCCACGCTGCTGCTTTGTCGTGTGATACTGCGCTATGCAGGCAGGATGGGGCGCACGCAGGCTCCAAGAGGCGAGAGGGCGCTGCGGTGGCAGCGGGCGCACAGCGGCCATAGCCGGGCCGAGCGTGCGGTAGCAGGTGTTGGCGATGGTGGTCTTCGGGTAGGAGGCGCATGCAGAGGGAACCAAGGGGTGATGATGGTGGTCGGCATTAGTGTTGACGTTACATACATTGGTCTTTGACTTCGATGTGTGCCAGTCACATGAACTTAGATAGGACAGATAGACTGAGTGGTGTAGGCAGGGCGCTGGGCGCCAGACAATAGGAGTGACATTGGATACCGTGTTGGTGTGACCAAAGAGCGTCGACATTGGCACTTGAGTTCATTGTATTACTCTTATTTGGATGGAATCTTGGTGCATTTGTGCTCTCTGCTTGGTACACAACTATCTGGACTACTACATGATTTTGCAACTTGGTTTTCTGTCTATCGCTCTCGCTCGTATTCCTTGCAAAAGCGTCCAAATGCTACGAAGGTCAAAAACAGTGTTTTCATGCAAAATTCACCCTTCATGGCCTACACAGTTTTTCAGGATTTTTTTTTCAGGGCTCCAATGAACACCAAACTCGGCACACACAAACGTTGACTAAAAATAAATCAGGGCCTAAAAATGCAAAGAAAAAATACTGAAAAATATTATCCCCCAATGCCCTTTTTCAGTGCTTGGGGGTCAACCTATGGTCTGAAAAGTGGGGGTCCCTGTTAACCACTTATGCCGCCCCCCCAATCTTCAAAGAAAATCTAGGCTTCATTTCCATGCACGGCCCCCAACGACACGCAGGGATGCCTGCACGGCCGCACGGCCGTGCGGGTCTCCTGGTCAAGCCCCCGTGCGGCCCCAGCACGTGGGTGTTGGGGGACAATTTCGGGGACGCCGCGGCCGGTTTCGGCTTCCACCTCACTCCCCCCACCTCCCACCTCCCTTCCGCCATCTCCAACTTCCCGCCCGCCACCTCCTACCTCCCTCCCGCCATCTCCCACCTCTGTCCCGCCATCTCCCACCTCCCTCCCACCGCCTCCCACCTCCCTTCCGCCATCTCCCACCTCCCTCTGTCCATCTTCCACCTCACACTTGCCATCTCCCACCTCACTCCCACCACCTCCTACCTCCCTTTCAGCATCTCCAACCTCACTGCCGCCACCTCCCACCTCCCTTCCGCTATCTCCCGCCTCACTCCCATCACCGCCTACCTCCCTTCGGCCATCTCCCACGTCACTCCTGCCATCTCCAACCTCACTCCTGCCACCTCCCACCTCCCTTTTGCCATCTCCAACCTCTCTCCCGCCGCCTCCTACCTCCCTTTCTGCCACCTCCTACCTTCCCTCCCACCACCTCGCACCTCCCTTCCATCATCTCCAACCTCACTCCCTAGCGTTTTAACCTCCCTAGTGCCACCTCCTACCTCTCTTCCTGCCATCTCCCACCTCCCTCTCTCCATCTTCCACCTCACTCCCACCATCTCCACATCACTCCCACCACCTGCAATCTCACTCCCCCCACCTCCCACCTCCCTTTTGCCATCTCCAACCTCCGTCCACCACCTCCCGCTACCTCCTAGCTCCCTCCATCTCCAACCTCACTCCCAACATTCATTGTGACAGTGAAACTCCTCCGTGCCCCAACCCACCTGAAAAGCATCTGAGAGTTAGTGAGACCCCACCCAATCCCCCCCCCTGCCACACTCGTAATAGTAGTGTGGCAAACAAGTGCAAAAAGGGAAGATTCGGGCAGATCTCTGCAGCCGCAGCAGAGGCCCATCGCCCAAGGAAAAAAAAAAAAAAGCTTGCACGGGTGATCCGTGCACCACCCAGCGGTGCCGGCTGCACGGGTGCACGGCTGTGCCGGCCCAGTCGGGGGCCGCCAGAAGGCTAGCAAAGAAGCCAAAAGGTTTTTGTAGTCAGTTGCGGGCCAGTAGAAGAGGGCAATTTATCTTCAAAAAAGCCAAAAAGTTTTTCATAGTCAGTTGCGGCCCAATAGAAGAGGGCAATTTATAGATAGCATCCACAATCATTTCAATGACTTGGCTAAGGATGTATCTTTCTTCTTAGGGATTTTTGGACTAATAATTTTTTTACAAACAATTTCTTCCTCAAGCATTCGTAGAATCACCTTGTGAGGCAGCAGCAAAGCTGAACATCTATTGATAATGTTGCCTTCTATAGCCCAAGTCACACTCTTGAATGTTTGGTCTACCTGGAAGGTCCCCCACCCCCCCCATCTATCCATGTCATCCATTAAGCCATCTTTTCAACGTTGTGACTTGCATGCGGCCGCAACTTTTGGGGCCCGGCCTCTGGAGCAAAGTGGCTGGCGCCTCCAGCCAAAAGGAGGCCCGCTCTGCTTCGTTTTTTTTGGCATGCAGGGCATTTCCAGCCCCAGAGAAAAGTGCCTCGGAAGTACCGGTGGTTTAAAAGGCCTTAGGTCATCTCTTAGAGCGCAACCAAAGGGACAGCTTGTGGCCTCAGAGAACTTATAGCCAAACAGACGTTACTTTTCATTTTGCACTTAGCTGAGCCAAGTGTTAAACCACCACTACCACTACCTTTTGAGGCCACCCTATTCAGTTCCCTGGAGGTCTCTCCTTTTCAGTTGGCGCATTGGAATGACTACACGGCAGCCACAGGTTTTCGTTTTCTGTCCACAGGGCAGGCTGAAGTTGCCTGATTTTTCACGAGTTAGTGGTGGTTCTCCTGATTTTCCACGAGTTAGTGGTGGTTCTCCTGATTTTTCACAAGGTTGTGGTGGGTTTGAAAATGCTCCTGATCTTTCTATTGGTCTTCCTATCCTGTTGATCTGATTGCATTGAGATTCGGACTTGGTTCTGTATTTCAACAGCTCGATGTTGTGCCGACTGTTCTAGGCCCGTTGGTATTAATACTCCTGATCTTTCACGAGGTACTGGTGGTTTACTGCTCCTTGTGTTTTCAAGCCACTCGAAGGCGCTGCTCCTCATCAAGACCTTCCTTTCGTCAGGTCGGCTGGTTACGAATGATGTCCTTGTTGTCTTGAACAGTTTACTTCTCCGTAGGTCCTTTTTCGGGATGGTCGGTTGACGTTTTAATGCAGGGTTTTTGTTCTTTTTCTTTCCTTTCCGGTTTCTTTCCCATGCTTGTTTGCCGAATGCAACAGGTCCCCTGCGGCGTTCTGGGAACCGCCAGTGTTTTTGTGGGGAGCAAGACTGCGCTCCCGTGGGACTCTGCTTTGTCCCATTGGCCAGGCTGGGACCTGGAAGATGCGTATGAATACCATGACGTCGTTTCCCATTGTTACTTTTCAGCAATCTGCTGCTGCCATAGTACCAGCCTGCCTTTCACCTTCTACTTCCCAAGTTGGTATCTCTGCTGAGCGAAGAACCTGTTTCGGGGTCCGTTCTTCCCTTTTTCAGAAGCAGCAACAGCAACAGCGACAGCAACAGCAACAGCAACAGCAGCAGCAGCAGCAGCAGAGTTGCATTGGCAGGGGCCAGAGGAGTGGTCAGTTTGGTACCAGTTGCAAGTTGATATACGCAAGAAGCTTGTGGGAGCAGGGGCGGCCATGTGGCGTGCTGATCTGGACGTCCACATCAGCACAAGCCTGCAGTGAAGGAGAGCTCTCCAGAACCTCCACCACAAGGTCAAGGACTGCAGTCAGGTCTCACTTAAACATCTCCAAGAAGGTGATCTCTCTTAGCTCTGGGCGGAGCCGCAGAACTTCGGGTTACCGCCAGCTGGCGGCGTCCAGTTGGCAAAGCCATCAAGAGCGCAGGCTTGATCATAATTGTCAAGAGATGGAGGGGAGTGGCAATGGGTCTCCTCGTGCGGAAGCAACAGCAGTGGGCACAGCAGCGGAGGTGGCGCCATGCATTGTCAGTGCCACAATCGTCGGCGCAGGAAGAGTGGGAGTGGCCCTGGAGAAGATGGGAAAGGGCGATGATGTGGTGGTTCGTCGTGGTGACACTGTCTTATCTGACGGGCAGGGACCTATCCTTGTTTGCACGAGGAATGCTGATCTCGATGCTGTCGTCGAAGCAACTCCTCCTCCCAGACGGGAAGACTTAGTCTTTTTGCAGAATGGTATGATTGAACCGTGGCTTGCGTCGAAGGGTTTGGAGAAGAACACGCAGGTGCTTGTGTACTTTGCGGTAGCAAAATTAGGAGACAAGCCTGTGGATGGCAAGACCGACGTCAATCCGGAGGGACTGACAGCCGCTACGGGCAAGTGGGCGACAGCAGTCGCTTCGCGCCTACACTCAGCAGGACTGAGCTGCAAAGTTCTTGATGCCGAGTCCTTCAGGAAACCAATGTTAGAGAAGTTGATGTGGATTAGCGCCTTCATGCTGGTCGGGGCTCGCCACCCTGGCGCAACGGTTGGGGATGTAGAGTCCACGTACAGAGAGGAAGTGGTGTCACTGGTCAACGAGCTGGCGTCCGCTGCAGCTGCTGCCAAAGGAGTACAGTTCGATGACGGATTAGTTGACAGACTCTGCGCGTATGCCCGATCGGTAGCGCATTTCCCCACAGCCGTCAAAGAGTTTGAATGGCGGAATGGCTGGTTCTATTCCCTTAGCAAAACGGCTCTGGACGGGGGCAAACCAGATCCTTGCCCTCTTCACACAGCTTGGCTCCAGGATGTAGGAGCTATATAAGGGAGAAGTACCTTCCAGTAATCCAGAATCAGTGGGGTAGATTTAGGAGATTGAGGACTTATTCACACTAGGACTTTCCTGGATCTACCTCACTGCAAATGTGACCCCATTTCGTGCAGAAATTCCTTATGTGAGTACGCCCAACGACTGTACTAATTAGAGTAGTTTTCTAGAAGTGATAGAGTGTTGAACAAGCGTGTTCATTCCTGACCTCTGGGTTGGGATGATGTGTTGACGTGTCTTAGTGATTACCACAGCTCATGCTTGTCCGTCTCCCTGGTCTTGCCACAACGCTTCTTCATCTGGTGTGCGCTTGTCTCTGTTGCTGTTGTTGAGAATCTGGCGTGTTGTGATGTACGCTGTATAGGTGGTTTTCTCCCAGAGTTTGTTCTTTTCTTTATGATGCATAATCTCTGCGTTTTCCTTTCCGAGTTCCTTGTTTCTATTTCGGGAGCTGTGTCTCGAGCAGGAGGAGGTCCCATTTCACCGTTTTCTTTACAAGAAGAGAACAATGACCGACCGTCTGATTCAGCTTCAGCTAAAAAAAAATAAAAGTTATAAAACATAAAAACTTATTGAAAAGGCATCACCTTTTATATTCCTCTTTGTTCATGCCGCGTTGCAGACAGAATGTGCAGCATGATAATGCACCGCCACGGCGCCATCATTATATCAGCTTCTTTTTTTTAACCATCCTCAACTCTTCTTCCCCACTTTTATCTTCTGGCTCTCTCGCCTGTGTTTCTTCCCTCTTCTTGCTGTTGTCAACCTTCTTACGCTTCCCTTCTGTTTTCCTCCCTTCCATCGTCATTTCTTTCTCTCTCTGGGGCCAAGTCCCACTAGCAGCGTTGAGTTTCTCGAATGCCCGAATCTGGACGTGTTTCTGTAGAAGTGCGTCTGAGGAAACTCAACGTGATTTTCTGCACATCCCAGATTCGGGCGTTGAGGAAACTCAATGCTGCTGGTGGGACTTTGCCGCTGGCCTGCCTTCCTGTCTCCCCCATCTTCCAATGGAGATGTGGTGGGGGGTAATATCTCACATGTTTTTCTTTTCTATTTCGTTATTTATAAGTTTGTTGTTTCTCTTTCGATCCCTCCTTCCTCCTGCCCTTCTTTTTTTTTTTTTTTTGTGTGTGTGTGTGTTGTCATGTGTGCTATACACGAACTCCAGAAAAGAATCAGGACTGTGAAGGACTGTTTCGTCACCGATTGATCAGAAGGTTGAACCCCGACAGTCTGCCGAGAGTGCATTTGACTGATGGTTAAGGACTCACCTCATCGCCCAGAGTTAGCAATACCCTTGCTAGAGAAAAGTGGTCGACTTTACTCACACCAACCCTGCAATCTGAGCAGACTGCTGGTCCAAACCCCTGACAAGAATGGCAGTCAGTCTGAGAAACTAGCCTGTCACACTCAGTTCTCAAACACACTCCACTCGTCTTCCTCCTTGTGCGCGGTTGTTCTTCTCCTCCTCATTTTCATATAAAGTGATGGCACATTGTTTGTGTCCCCACAATTTCTTTCTTTCTTTCTTTCTTTCTTTCTTTGTCCGTACAGTTTTTCAATCTTTCCTCTTCGCTCGGTATCTGTTTCCCCTGGAACGAGGTCTGACGAGCACAGAGGATTGGATTTTAACCCCTGAATGTGGACGTGTTTCTGGACAGGTGCATAAAATTGCGATTGATCTTCTTTTCTGCATCTCTGCTTTAACCACATCCAGATTCATAGGCTGAGTCCAATCCTCTTTGCTAGTGGAACCTCGCCCCGGGTGATGACCTTGAGAGGGGAAGTTACCAATAACGAGACTTGTAGCCACGGAAGAACTTCTGAGACAGCTGCTTGTTCAAGAAAGGGGAAAAGAAGGAAAAAGGAAAAAGGAGCTGGGGAAAGAAGCCTCAAGGCAGGTACCTCAGGGGGTAACCCTTGACAATAATGAATCGAGCAGGGTTTGAACTCATGGTCTGTGTATTAACAGTTACATTAGTGTACTAGTCAGCCACCACCCGACACTGTACACAGGGACACCATTTCTGTAAGCTCCCCCACAACATCCCTACCCCAAGAAATGAAAACACCTATTAGTAAAGACGGTATAAGCAGATGATGCATGCCCGGAGTGAACCATCGGCAATACAAGTCCACAGGATCATCCAATGTGAGGAAGAGATATAACGTGACACAGCGGAAGACTCAAAACAAACAAAGTATGAGAATGCACCAAATGACAATATGGATCAGATCTGATCTCACCTCATGCGGGGAGGGATCCAAATATAGAAGAGCCTCCCCGCTGAACTCATGCATGGACAAGGGTGGAGGAGAGAGAGAAGAAGAAGAAGAAGAAGAAGAAGAAAACTGAATGTATGGCAGTGCCAAATGATAAATTGATAATAATACTATAATAGTCTCTCGGCACCACCTCTCACTCAACCTCAACCTCCAACAACCTCCAATGATGAACTCAGATCTCAAATCTGGGAGCTGAGCTCCAGTGACCTCAATGTCCAGTCTCTTCTCTCTCTCTCTCTCTCTCTCTCTCTCTCTCTCTCTCTCTCTCTCTCTCTCTCTCTCTCTC